GCCATGAAAACAGTGAGTAGTGAAAAGCTAGCAACGTTTCGTCTGTGCAAAAGTGGCTGTAGAGTTAAACATAATTCATCACCCACAAGGGCGCATAAATGATTTTGAGCTCTGTCAAGGGTTGAAAGTGATAACTGAGCAGCTCTCATCATATATATGGCAGTATTACTCCATTTCTTTGTCTGAGTTGACTCTTATAAAGATAGAGCATGGCGGTAGGAGTCAGATATTTCTAAAGTGGCATAAATATATATATATAAATTCATGAATCATTCATAAAAAAACATGTATTTTTTGTATGAATGATTCATGAATTTATAAATTATAATTGCACCTTTTAATTGAAATTAAAATAACTTATCCAACGTGCAACTCTCGGATAATAAGTGTGACATTACTGTAATTATTGAACAATATAGTTCATGCCATATTCACGGAAAATCTACCAGTAAAAAAGAATTCTCTTATTGCTATATTTGTACAAAAACGCACAACCTTAAAATTTCAATTCAAACTCAGCGTTGCGACCGCACGTTCCAAAACAATAACACATTTCTCATAGCATTTTTTCGGATTGCATCTCTATTTTCGTTGTCCTCTTATTACTGAGAAGTAAAAACAAGAACAAAATCTACTTCCATACCTGATGATGTCTGTAGGAACAGACGAAAGCTTGTAAAAAATTAAAAAGATCTTATGCAACTGGAATTTATAAATGGAGATCATATCATTCATATACAGGTTCGAGGTTGGTGTATCTTATTTATATTGTTTGCGACGATGTATTCTCGCCATTTAAATCATTAACCTCTATATTTGTTTTTTGTATGAATGATTCATGAATTTATAAATTATAATTGCACCTTTTAATTGAAATATATATATATATATATATATATATATATATATATATATATATATATATATATATATATATATATATTGAATTGGATTAAGTCTTACAATTATTTAATATATTTTCTCTTTATACGTTATTTTTACAGATATGATTTTAAGTAAATGCTCTGTTTTTAATTAAACAGTATTAATGTATTAATTACTTTCACCGGCCTGAATGTTCGGGAAATTTCGTAGAAAATATGCTTTCTCTGATAGGAATCGAACCTGTATTCCTATACGGAAACCGTCATTTGATCTGATGTGATATACCATTTAGCTACATAGAAATATCTGATTAGAAGAACCGAGAAAAAAAATCGAGAAAAATTGTGAAAGATTGTGCGTTTGTAAACAGTAATTCGAACTTTGCTACACACACACATGGGATAAAGTGCTCAATATCAGAGATAGAGCGTGTGAAAATATAAAAGTGAACATAGAAGTCAACACTTAGAGGTGACAGGCTGGTTCATGCTAGATGCAATCGTCAGGCCGATTGCGTCTAGCATGAAACAGCCTAAGTTTTGACTTCTATGTTCCCTTTATATATATATATATATATATATATATATATATGAGTTCCACTTGAATACCAACAGATGATCAAAGTATTGACCCTCATTGAAAATGCAACCCTTTATCGTGTCAGACGCAAATTCAAGTGTATTATCATGAATGAAATTTATAACAAAATTGTTTTATCCCACAATTTAATAGTCTTGATTTTATTTTGAGGGGAGTATTATTATGAGTAGATTGATTAATGTAATTGTTTTATCCTACAGCTATCCGAATTACCCGCCCCTTGCTGCGTGTCACACACATTTGTAAGAAAATGATGATTGATTTTAAATCATTGTGATAATTTGGGGAGAAAAATGATGCATCTCAATATTACTCAATGATCTTGCTGATATGACCTCCATCTTCTGGCTTTCTCCTTCTATATTTTGAATAGGAGTCATTCCCTTGTTGAAATTTAAATTTAATTTAAATCAAAATGAAAAAGATTTTCACTATGTGGGGGGTGTAAAAATTTGGATCTCACCCCTTTGATATGTATTTAACTTAAATGAATTGATGAACAGATTTCAACATTGATATGACAATCGAATTGTCGCAACAACTGTGTATTGTAAGGCACTACCCACTGATTGATGATTTCTTGCTCAACTTGACGTCCACATTGTCTCATTTTGATCTTGCCGGTGTGAGCTACATTTTCTGGATTTCTTCTTTTATATTTTGGAGAGGAGTCATTCCCTTGTTGAAATTTAAATTTAATTTAAATCAAAGGGAAAAAATTCAGTGGGGATTGTGCAAAAAACAGCTTAAATAGAACCCTTTGATATGTATTTGATGCAATGCTTGGTTAAATGAATTGATTTGATTTTCAACATTGACATGACAGTTGAATTGTCGTGTGGCACCTTGCATTATTAGAAATATTCATAGAAATATGATTTAATTTTTTCTTACTCGGTTTACTAAACAGGTTGTTGATTTTTTTTAAAACGGAAAATAATTGAGTTGAAAATAATTCACTAAGATTGTACTTAGACGATCCTAAGGGAAGAAGAGGAAAGAAAAAAAAAAGAAGAAAGAGGAAGAAAAAGAAAAAAAGAAAGAAAGAGAGTTGGATGATGCATGACCCAGTCAATGGTGGAGATAGGAGTCAGAAAGATATCTTGGCCTGCGTGTGGCCGAATTTTTTAAAGACAATTGGAAGAATAGAATTAGAAATAAGAAGAAGAAAAAAAAGAAAAGACATGATATCAAAACGGGCCGCTTGATGAAAACCAGATATCGGTCAAAACATCTGACCTACTTTTTGCGTAGAAAGACTCATTATCAATTTGGAGTAAAGGGAAATTTTAAGAACAATGAGAACGAAATCTTAATCAGAGAAAAAGTGTTTTTGGGTTGAGGGGAGGACCGGTGGAACTATATACAGATCCTGACCTATTAAGAATTGGAAACCTACGATAATAAAGTGGGAACATTTTCAATGTAGATAATTAAGATTTTCTGACTGTCGGGTCTGACAAAGACGGGAGGTGAAGGGACGATTGTCTCAGTTCACAGATAGCGCCAATATTCTTCCCTGAAGTCACATCTAATTAGCGGCGGGCTGTTTGACAGAGCCCAGGTGAGAGAAAGCCAAGATTGTCATTTTTCGTACGTGCAGAAAAGGCAAAATTGGATTTTGTTTTTTAAAAACAAGAACGATGTAACCACGCCCGAAAGGAGGAGAAAGGATGCTCGATCAATAACAATTGGTCGGAAACGGTCACGTGATCTGCAGAAAAGAAGAGAAAGAAATGCCCGATCAGGAACCATTGGTCGAAAAACGGTCACCTGACATACGAGAGACTAAGAGAGATGGGTGTGCACCTCCCCACCAAAGGCACTGTGAGGAAGTAGGGGTGAAAACAATAGCGATAATGGGAAGTCAAAAATAATGCGACTTTTTGAATTATCGAGAAACCCCCTGACGCCGACAGACCCACCCCGGTTTGCTGCGGCGTCAATAAAAGCAGGGCCCCAATCGACAAAAGGCAGTTCAGCCCCGGACGGCAGCGAGAAGAGATCACCTCGGACGACAGAGAGTTGCGGCTGAGTTGCGGCAAGAGATCCTTCCAGCCCAAGTCGAAGACAAGAGAACTTCCAGCCTAAGTCGACGAAGAAGAAGAAATACAACTCAAGTCGAAGAGAAGAATCAACTGCGAATGATCGATAGAAATTAGCCCCAGTGTCGAACCAAACCACACTCCGACATACACAATTCTAAAGAGTAGGCAATTCGAAATCTTTTTAGGTTGTGTGATAGAAGCTTGTGCCATAGTCCACAGAGCGGGTCGGGAATTGAGAACAATTTTGTTTTTATGTAACGGACATTAAGATATAAAAGGTTGTTACCCTTTTTTTTTTCATCAGCAATCTTTTTGTCTCGTGAGTTTATTTTTTCTCTTTTATTTGTGTTTTGCCACCCCGTCGGACTCAACTTGTATCGGCCCCAATCCCTGCTGGTCCCGTCTGTCTAAGATCTAAACACAGCGTGGGTAGACAGACCGGAGATCGGTACAGTTGCTTTAGTGACCAGGTATTGGAAGCGAGTTGGGAAAAGGCGAGGCTGGTGATCATCCAACCAAGGGGTTGGAGCGGCACGCTTGGAACCAGGAGGGGCGACCAGGAGGAGCGACGTCACAGTTGGCGCCGTAACCAAGGGATTCGACCCTGGGCCAGGTGTGTAAACGTCACAGTCGCAACAAATAAGTATTGTAAGTTACTACTCACTGATTGATTTCTTGCTCAACTTGACGTCCATATTGTCTCATTTTGATCTTGCCGATGTAACCTCCATTTTCTGGCTTTCTCCTTCTATATTTTGGAGAGGAGTCATTTCCTTTTTCAAATTTAAATTTAATTTAAATCAAAAGGAAAAATAATTCAATGGCGGTTTGTGCCCTCTGGGGACCTCCTTTGAGCAAAATGAAATATACTTATCCAAGTTCCTTAGGATTCATTCCCTTGTTTAAATTAAAATTTAATTTAAATCAAAAGGAAACAATTTTTAGTGGGGGTTTGTATTCACCGCTTGGAACCCCCTTTGACCAAAATGAAATATACTTATCCAAGTACCCTGGGTAAATTTAGTTTCAGAATATATATATGGTTATGGAGGTCTATCTCTGAAACCCTAGGAGGAGTTCGATAACAAAGTGACAGAGGCTACAACTTTATATATAGAGATTCAATCGTCTTGACGTTATTTTAAGAGGAAAATTATTATGAGTAGATTGACTAATGAAATTGTTTTGTCTCACAATTTAATAGTCTTGACGTTATTTTGATAATAAGAATCATCATGAATTGAATTAATAATGAAATTGCTTCTTCTCAAAATATAATCAAAATAATTTAATGCGATTAATGCAAGGTTTATATATTTAATTTTCCCTAAACAGGAAAGTTGAGTAAGAAAAATATTATGGAATAAAATTTGTGTCCATCACGGTTTGCTCAACTCCTTGGGGATAAGATCGAATTTAACCATTTTGGGTCTCACATGCTAACGAATATTCCAGATCTGATCCTGCATACGGCCATATCACGTTGAAACACCGGTTTCCATACAAATCACCAAAGTTAAGCAACGTCGAGCCTGGTTAGTATCTACATGGGTGACGGCTTGGGAATACAAGGTGTTGTAAGCTTGGACTGGTGGCTGGTGTAATGGATAATGACTCAGAATTGTCAATCAGGGAGCCGAGTTCCAATTCGTGTTGGGTTCGTTATATTCACTCTCGCGTAGGTGACCTCGCAAAAGGTAGGAAGCCACCTCCTCTCCGCCCTCCCAGGTATGGGTTGATCAGTAAAACATGTATCGCTAACTCATTATTATCTCAAAATAAATTTTTACATTCCAAATTTTTTTCTGGCTTTAAATAACCTGCTAAGCGTTGAAAAAAAAACAAATCAGTCTATCAATCAAACAGATCTTATTCTACATGTTAATATTTTGTCTATAGTACGCATGCGTTGCTTCATACAGCGATCTTGATTGGTGTTGATTCATACATTTTTTATGGGTTATCAACGCTTTTCTGGTTATTTAAAGCAAGAAAATATTTTAGATTTTAAAAATTTGTTTTAGATAATGATTTAGCGATACGATGAAACGTATGGTGTTCTATGAAGAATACCGAAAAGTGTCCGAATGAGTTTCGATCTGGCCAACGACCACTAAATTTGGTCAGCAAGGATGAAATGTTATTTTTAATTTTAGTAAATGTTCATTGCCACAATATTTCTATGGTAAAATCTCTCCGTACATTCTTTTATTTTCATATTCTCATCTTCTGCCTCTCTTTCCCTCACTCTCTATTCCCCCCCCTCTCTCTCTCTCTCTCTCTCTCTCTCTCTCTCTCTCTCTCTCTATCTATCTATCTATCTCTCTCTCTCTCATGATTAACTATATATTTATTTTCTGTTTCTTTGTCTTTCTCTATTTTTCTTTCTCTATTTCTTTTTCATTTCTTCTTTCTCTTTTTTTCTTCTTCCGTTTTTCTTTCTCGTTATATTTTTCTTTCTTTTCTTCTTTCTCTCTCTCTCTCGCTTTCTAAGTTCATCTTTTTTCTTTGCAATTTTTTTTTTCTTTTTCGCTTTCGTTCTTTTTTTCTTACTCAATTTCCTTTTTACTTTGACTTTCTTTTTCTTTTTCTTTCTCTTTTCTTCTTATTTCTTTAGTTTTCTCTCTCTTTCTCCCTCCTGTCTACTTTTTATCATTTTCTTTTCTTTCTTTTTCTGCCTTTATCTTTTTTCTCTTCCTTTGTCTTTTTTTCTTTCTCATTTTCTCTCTCTCTCTCTCTCTCTCTCTCTCTCTCTCTTCTTTCTCACTCTCTTTTCTTTCTATATTTCTCTAATTATTTTCTCTCTGTATCTCTGTATCTCTCTCTCTCTCTCTCTTCTCTCGCTACTTCATTGGCCTTCTTTTCTCTTTCTGTCCTTTTTCAATGTTTTGCCATCTTCTAGGCGTTTTCTTCTTCGTCGCCGCAAGGTAAGTTACATTTAAATGCCGATTAACAAGAACTGCATCTTTTTTTTCCTTGTGTGTGTGTGTGTGTGTGTGTGTGCGCGCGCGCGCGTGTGTGTGTGTGTGTGTTAGTGTAAACGGTCAACGCGAGACTGTCGTCTGACAAAACAATTCCTCTCTAATTAAGCCATTATTACAGTTTGCATATTGAATCGTGTCAATTTAATCCGGTTAGTGAAAAACTCATTTAGGAAATTAGATAATAGCCCTGCTTTCAGTTCTTCATTGACAAGGAATCTATTTGGGAATGAAAATTCAGTAATGATTAGTGTCCTCAACGATTGGTTTCTGCCTATGGCTCTTCGTGTGTATGTGTGTGTGTGTGTGTGTGTGTGTGTGTGTGAGAGAGAGAGAGAGAGAGAGAGAGAGAGAGAGAGAGAGGAAAGAAAGTATGAAAGTTTGTCAAGAGGTAAGAAAAACGTGTGTGTATGAGAGAAATGTAGAGAGAGAGAGAGAAAAGAAAGGTGTGTTTAAAAAATATAAGAGAATGAAAAATGAATGAGAGAGCAGGAAAAGGAAGAAAAAGCAGAGAGCGAGAGAAAAATAAAGTAAGAGTGAGAGAGAGAAGGAAGGGAAAAGTAGTTTCAGAGTGAAGAAAGAAAGAAAAAAAGAAAGATGAAAAAACGAGAACTGAGATAAGGTAAGATAAGAAAGAAAGAAAGTAGACTTAAGTTAAGATAGAAACAGTCAAACAAGAAAGAAAGAAAGAAAGAAAGAAAGAAAGAAAGAAAGAAAGATAGCGTAGGAAAGAAAATTCAAAACAGACAAATGAGTATTTAAAATCAAAAGTAAGAAGGTATAATGTGCTGAAAGAAAAAGAAAGAGAGCGAGTATATAGCAAAGAATAGAATTAATGTGAGAGAATATATTTTCCATACCATTACTGTTTTTTGAGGTAAATGTTTAAAAATTAAGTTTAGCTTCAAAATTGAAACGTTCCAGTGATCAGTGAAAGCCTTCTCGCCAAATCTTATAACATTTGTAATTGAAATATATGCAGTCAGTTGGCTTGAAATTAAGAGATAATAAATGCTATAATCAACAACTGTATATTTTCAACATGATCCAGAAAATAAAGTCTGTGAAGTAGATATGTAAGATCTCATTAGATAACTGACGATTTCCACAGGCAGACATAAGTTGCCTCGTCCTGTGTTATATAAACAGCTGACTGGCCGGGGGCCAGATATATTTTATTTTATTTGTATCTCGTTGGTACGAGAATAAATTAATTGAGAATTACTACTACAATTGCCGTTGTGGTTATTTCACGCAGTCGACCGAAATATAAAATATCCAATTTAAAAAATTTACTGCACAATGCTTCCGCTTTTCTTCCAGAAAATATTAATTTCTCAAAATTGATGTCAGATGAATTGTAGGTGATGGAAAAAGCTATAAAACAATTTTGTCCATTTGATAAACATTTATTCATACTTAATTAGTCATGTCAATTTACAGGACTAATTTTAAAATTTCATTTATCACAAAAACATGACTACGTATGGACAAATTTTCCAATAAAAATATTTTTTGTTTCAGAAAGGGCGAGCCACCAATGAAGAGATAAAAAAATTTAAATTCATCGACTCTGAAGCGACACATTGATCAAATTTGATTAACTTCTCACAAAATTTGCGAATTTGCGCTTGCAAGGAAGTTTTTTCAAATAATGATCTACAAGAGGTTCTAATGAATGCAATGATGTTGAAGTTGCCGAATTTACCTGCACATTTGCAAGGCATGGAAAGCGCAGTTAAATTAACTACTGAAGATTCACAAATTATACATAGGCAAAACACAAGCACATTTTTACTAAATCATTGTGCCATCAAATGAGACATTAATTTATTTCAAATGGAAATTACACACACTGAACAATTTAGCTATATTATAATGTAATATGTTATACAGCGCCGTTGTTTTAATGTGATTTTCAATAAACTATGCAAATTTAAAACATGATAATTTATAATTTGGGCCCAGCAATATTATGATGCTTTTAACTATTTTTTTATTTTTATTTTTTGTTTATGAACTAAAAAATGGTGAAAGTCCCTATTCACAATCTGTCTATATTTCTGAGATGAGGTATTATGTACACTATTTACATTATTCGGACTATTGTCCTCATCTTTGTCGACATATTTATTACAACGTTTTGGCCGTTGTACGCTCCGGCCTTCTTCAGGTGGTTGGAATGTCGAACTGAACCCTTTATTTCACTCACTGGGGTAGACTGTTCTAGTTCCACGTGTCATGTTTAATGGATGTCAATAATCAGTTATTCTCCTCTCCAAGTTCTCAATCATGTTTTCAATCATCTGACCAATTACGGACACACGAAAAGGTAGAATTTGAGCGGAATTCGTTTTTTTTTTCTTTGGATGCTTCTTCGTCAATTTATCTACCTTTTCTTACCTGGGGCTAAGCAGTCATAACCGATACTAAAGCCACACGATATGTTGCTGAATATAAGTCTTGTCTGTTGATCATACACAGTATCACCAATGGGATTTCAAGTCGCCGACATTATTATAACTCTTGCTTTTCCGTTTTTCAAAAGGACATTTTTTTCCAGTTGAGAATACATCAATTCATTTAATTGGTCTTATAATCTTGCACGGACTTGCGGGCAGTGTAGCGGCTAGCGGCGGGGAACGAGTGCCCGGTTCGAATTCCAGTCGAGTTTGTTTATACTCACTTTCGCGCAAATATCCTTGGGAACGGTATGGATCTATATCTGGCTCCCCTAGCTATGGGTTAAAATGTAGAGAAGACTGGGAAATTCAGCCTTGATTAGCAACCAGTCTAGAAGAAGGTCATGTCTGAATTGAAAACCGCACGTAATCCTGATGAAGCACATACTATGCATTATAATAAAAGGATCATGGAGTTCACAATCATTCTAGGATCCAATCTGTGGTCCTCTTTCATCATCATCTTCATATATATATATATATATATATATATGTGTGTGTGTGTGTGTGTATGTATTGGATGTATTTTTTATTTATTTACATTTGATTGAAAACCAATAAATGTTCTTTGTTATTATTTTTATTTAAGTTTTCAATAGCTCTAATTTTTGCAGGGGTGGGGCTGTTCGGATTTGTAAGTAAAACTTCTTAAATCTAAGCACTTTCGGGAAGATATTGTCATTTCTTTTTCTTTTAGTATTGTCAACTACTATAGCTTTCTCACATCCTTTTTAAATTTTGTCTGCATAAATTAAATTGATTACCTCAAAAATCTTTAGATAGATAGATAATGAACAAAGTGAGATAGATAGATAGATAGATAGATAGATAGATAGATAATGAACAAACTGAGATAGATAGATAGATAGATAGATAGATAGATAGATAGATAGATAGATAGATAGATAGATAGATAATGAACAAACTGGGATAGATAGATAGATAGATAGATAGATAGATAGATAGATAGATAGATAGATAATGAACAAACTGAGATAGATAGATAGATAGATAGATAGATAGATAGATAGATAGATAGATAGATAGATAATGAACAAACTGAGATAGATAGATAGATAGATAGATAGATAGATAGATAGATAGATAGATAGATGTTTAAAATGAAATAGATACATAGATACAGACTTAGATAGATAGATAGATAGATAGATAGATAGATAGATAGATAGATAGATAGATAGATAGATAGATAGATGTTTAGAATGAGATAGCTACATAGATACGAACAGACTAATAAAGATGGGTAGATAATGAACAAAGTGATATAGATAGTTTGAATTTAACAAAAATAGAAAAAATTATATACAGAGTACCACGACATGAGAGTGATAACGAATTAGTCCAACAAATCATTACGACTAATTGTCACCGTAATGGTAATATTAGCCGTTTCTTAATCAAGAAACATTCGCCATTCACTGAGCGAGTAGCCAGTACGACTGTCGGTTGAAATTCATAAAATCTTTCTCTTAAAACAATTTTTCAGTAAAATAGGCTTCTCGGATCCAGTGGTTGTTATTGCCCTTTCCAGTATTGATTCTTTCCTAACCTTTTATTTGATGTAGTGTGGAACGGCAACATCTTGATTATATCATTATTGTCTCTTCGAGTTGGTATTTACTTGACTCCCACTAAGTCAAGATGTGACACAAGGTCGTTTAACGTGGGAGACCCGAGTGTTTCCACTCAAAGGCCACTGGTCAAAATTGGTCATAGCTTGTCCAAGCTGGTCAGAGCCTAGTCAAAGCTGGTCATGACTTTTCCTAACAGGTCCAGGCCGGAGCCAGTCCAAGCTAGTCAAAGCCTTGATCGAATCTCAGCCATAGGCCAAGAAACGATCCAATATTTGTCAAAAACCCCAGCCAAAAGGCCGGGTGAGTTACATGTGATAGCCATCTTAGTTGTTCCTACTGTTGTTGGAAATCCTTCAAGTGAAGTGGTTTCTCTTATTTGATAGACTTCATTATTTTTGATTCTGTTCATAAGTTTCAAAGAAGTATAGTCTTCACCAAGATCTACAGGCTTCCCTCGCTCGAGGCCATTTTTAACCATTGACAAAAGAAAGCGGTTGTATACAACTGACAGTTTAAATATTTCTCGGCGAGTTTGGCGCCATGTATGGTATCCATATGAAAATGCCGATTTGATGAGGCCATTGAAGAACATGACTCGAGTTTTCGGGTTAATGTCTTCGGTTTTTTAATGCTAAAGTTAACCCAATGCATGGCTCAAGAGCCACTCATGGTAGACGGTTACTGAATGAGGCGCGTTATATGAACTTATTATTATGATAAGGAAGATAGACAGCGATTGATCCTTGCCTTGAAGAGATTAAGATCGTAGTGTTCAGGGAAGGATTCACACAAGAGTTTGTTCCATAAAAGTAATAGTTCTCTGGAAAAGGTTGAGTAGAACTTCTTCCTTTCAAATGGAATATGGACAAAATGTGGGTGATCCGGCAAGGATGTAGCATGACCA